GTCCAGTGGAAAAGGGACAGCATTTTCAACAAATGGTGCTGGTTCAACTGGAGGACAACATGTAGAAGAATGAAAATTGATCCATTCTTATCTCCTTGTACAAAGCTCAACTCTAAGTGGATAAAGGACCTCCACATAAAACCAGATACACTGAAACTAATAGAAGAGAAGGTGGGGAAGACCCTCGAATACTTGGGCACAGGGGAAAAGTTCCTGAACAGAACACCAATGGCATATGCTCTAAGATCAAGAATTGACAAATGGGACTTCATAAAATTGCAAAGTTTCTGTAAGGCAAAGGACACTGTCAATAGGACAAAACGACAACCAACAAATTGGGAAAAGATCTTTACCAATCCTACATCTGATAGAGGGCTAATATCCAATATATACAAAGAACTCAAGAAAGTAAACACCAGACAACCAAATTACCCTATTAAAAAATGGGGTATAGAGCTTAACAAAGAATTTTGAATGGAAGAAACTCGAATGGCCGAGAAGCACCTAAAGAAATGTTCAATGTCCTTAGTCATCAGGGAAATGCAAATCAAAACAACTCTGAGATTCCATCTCACACCAGTCAGAATGGCTAAGATTAAGAACTCAGGTGATAGTAGATGCTGGCGAGGGTGTGGAGAAAGAGGAACACTCCTCCATTGTTGGTGGGACTGCAAGATGGTGCAACCACTTTGGAAATCAGTGTGGCGGTTCCTCAGAAAATTGGACATAGCATTACCTGAGGATCCAGCTATACCACTCCTAGGCATATACCCAGAAGATGCTTGGACATATAACAAGGACATATGCTCAACTATGCTCATAGCAGCCTTATTTATAATAGCCAGGAGCTGGAAAGAACCCAGATGTCCTTCAACTGAGGAATGGATTAAAAAAATGTGGTATATTTACACAATGGAGTATTACTCAGCTATTAAAAACAATGAATTTGAGAGGTTCCTAGGTAAATGGATGGAACTAGAAATTATCATCCTGAGTGAAGTAAGCCAATCACAAAAGAACACACATGGTATTCACTCACTGATTATTGGATATTAGCCCAGAACCTTGAAATGCCCAAGATGCAACTCACAGGCCACATGAAGCTCATAAAAAAGGAAGACCAAGTGGGGGTGATTCAGTTCTTCTTAGAAGGAGCAACAAAATACTCAAGGGAGCAAACATGGAGACAAAGTGAGGGACAGAAACTGAAGGAGGGGCCATTTGAAGACCTTTCCACCTGAGTATCCACCCCATATGCAGTCACCAAAGGTAGATGCTGATGTGGAAGTCAGGAAGTACATGCCGATAAGGGCCTGATATGGATGTCTCCTCAGAGGCCTTCAAGAGTCTGACATATTCAGAGGCAGATGCTCACAACTAGCCATTGAACTGATCATGAGGTTCTCAATGGAGGAGTTAGAGTGAGGACTGAAGGAGCTGAAAGGGTTTGTGGCACCATGAGGAGAGCAACAATACCAACCAACCACAGTTCCCAGGGTCCTAACCACCAGCCTGGGAGCACTTATGGAGGGATCCAGGGCTTCAGCTGAATATGTAAGAGTAGAGGGCCGTGCCGGGCACAGGTGGAAGATGAGATCCTTGACCTCATGAAGGCTGGACGCCCCAGGGGGTGGGAATTTTGGGTGGGGAAGTGGGAGGGGGGGTAGGTGGGGGTTGCATCCACAGAGAAGAAGGAGGAGGGGTAAGGGGATGGGGGTTCCCGGGTGGGTGGGGGATAGGGTAAGGGGATAACATATGAAATGTAAATAAAATATCCAATAAAAAAAGAATATTTTACCCAAAAAAAAAGAAAAAAAAAGATATCACTTTGCACCATTTCATTTCAAAAGATGCTTTATTACATTTATACAAGTGTGTGTAGGGTGTATGTGTAGGGATGTGTCTGCCTGTGTGGTGCCTGTAGGTATGTGTGTAGGGTATGTGTGTACAGGGTATGTGTGTAAGTGTATGTATATAGGTGTGTGAAGTTGTGTTTATGTGTCCAGGGTACATGTGTACAGGGTATGTTGTAAGTGTATATATGTAGTTGTATGCATGTGCTTGTGTGTGTGTACATGTGTGTGTGGAGGGTGTGTGAACTTAAACGGTAACGTGTAGGAACAGATTCTCTCCTTCCACTATGAGGGGTCCCAGGAATCTAATTCAGGTTTGTTAATAACCTGCATAATCCACTGAGCCATCTCATTGGTCTAAGATTTTTAAGAATATGAATTTTGCTTCCTTTAACAAATGAGATCTAACCATATTAAATGTAGATTTTTGTAGGTCAGCTCATTGGAACCCAAGAACAGGCCTTTGACTTCAGTTCCTGTACGTGCTATGTGTATTTTGTGGGCTGTGTACATTCTTACTGTTTTCTGCTTTCTCCTACAACCTAACGTGCGAGCACACAGCTGCAGCTGGATCTAGTTATATAGGCATTTGGGGGTTTCTATCTTCTCCCTGTTTGAATAAGGGTTGGCATTTACTCTGGAAAGGTATGGACTTGCCCAAAGAACTGAGCTATCTCTCAAGAAAGAGATCTGTTTCGATAATCTTGTTCTGTTTCCATTTGGACTATCATTAGTTCACTAGGTCCACAAGCTAGGGGTCCTTCCTCGGAGTGGTTCATTGTTTCTATGGCCTGTAATATATATACTTTAAAGGTCTTTACTTAGAACCAGACTTTGCAGTGTCACAAGTTGGCATAACTACGTGATTAATACGTTGTACCGTTTAAGGACTTTCACGTCATGGATCAGCTTCTCACCCAGTCCGTACTTTATTGAAAGACTTGAGTTATGGAGGTCTTCGATATTATTGGAGTTGCTGATCAGAGGTGTATGTGCCCCTGTGAATCACTTACGATACTGGCATGCCTATATGGAAATGAGTTAAGTTTTCATAAAGGGATGCTTAGAAGTCTTTGTAAGTCATTGCTACTAAAGAAGAATGTTTTGTGCAACCACTGCCTGAAAAATAGGTTAAAAACCTCCAAAACCATTCCTTTAAGCAATGGTGCTCAGCAGCTTTTTTTGGGGGGGGGGCACTGTTTTCTTCTGTGTTAATCTTTAAAAGTTTAACTTGTTAGACACACAGAGTTCTTTCTTTACCTTCCTGACATTAAGAAGTAGGGAAAGCTGAACCTGATGGTGCTGCCTGAAACAGAAACTCCTTAGGAGGTTAAGCATGGTCAAGGCCTGCCTGGGCTTCATAGAGAATACTGGGCTAGCCTGGGTAATGTAGTAAGACACAGTCCTCAGACAAAGCAAACAACAAAAAGAGAAAAAAAGTGTGAAGCTGCAGCTCAGAGGCAGAGCAGTTCCCAGCACTTGTGCGGAGTTAGGATTACTCATTCGCCAGTATCTAAAAAACAAAAGAAAAGAAAGAAAAAAAAAAGGAATCTGTTCAACTCAAAGCATATGTGTGAGCAAGAAATATTTCCCTAAACCAAAAACTGCTTACAGGAGAACTTTTAAAAAAGTGTGTAAAAGCAGAGTGTGTAAAACATCATGGCTTCTCCCAGGCTTCTGTGTACTGGTACTTGAAAGGCCCAAGCAACACTATTTTATAGGTAGCTTCCCTAGCATGTCATCACATGAATTGAAGATTGATATCAGATTCTATATGTCCTATGACATATAGTTAGGGTGTGTGACTTTAAGTGGCCTCGGACCTGAAAATCCATTACTTAATAAAGGAGTAATTATTACTACATGGGGGAGTATTTATCTTTTAAAAAATAGGTTAAGTATAACTTTTATTTTTAGAGATACCTAATCTAAATGGAATTATTGTTTTGCATCCTTCAGAGACATTTCGAGTAGTATGACCATCCTCATTGTATAAATAAAAAAAGAAAGAAAAGAAAAGAAGAAGAGGAAGAGGAAGGAGGAGGAGGAGGAGGAGGAGGAGGAGGAGGAGGAGGAGGAGGAGGAGGAGGATCTAATGCAGCGAGGTGACTTGTGCGACTCTGAGAGACAGGGTGGTTAAGGCAAGCCTGGCTTGCAGTTACATGCTTCCTGGCTTTTAAGTCTCTACTGCCCCCTTTAAAATTGAAGGAGAAGAGACTTGAAGCAAACCTCTAGAAGGACTGCCTTTGAATGAAGAGTTTGCAGGGTAAGGTTGAAGCAGCCCTCCAGCATTGGTGACTGAAAGTCTTGCAAGTCCTCTTTTAGTCCTTCAAGGGAATTCAGCCTGCAGGCTTTACACCAAGGAACATTCCCTGAGGCTTGGGATCCCTGCTCCTCCCAAATCTTGGATAGTGTAAGAACTGAAGGGGAAGAATTCTGAAGTCAACTAACTGGACAAAGACTGTTTTGTTTAAGACCCACTGCTGACCTCTGCTTTTTTTCTGAGGGACAGCTTTTGCCAGTCGACCGCGGGGACACCCGGGCTTGTAATCTGAAGAAGCAGGGTTCCAGGAACACCTGTTAAGGACTTTGCTGCTCCCGGACCCCCAGGTTCTGGACTTGTTTTACCGCAGTTCTTGTGCCGGGCTGTGTAGCAGGGCGTGCTGGCTGTTTGTCCTTGGGATCCAGCTCCTGGGAGGAGCTGGCTCTCCGCCTTTGCTTCTACACGAAGAAACTCGCAGCCCAGAGTGGGATTACCCCCTCCCCCGAGGCATTGAGGTACGGAACCTCTCTCCAGCCCAACACTCAAAAGCCCTGGGCGTTTATCCCCTATTCACATAGCCAGCGACCACAACTCCCTCCCCCCTCGCCCCTGCCCCTCACTTTCCTTTTGCAGATTAGATGAACTCCTAAGTGGAGAGTAGCCGCTGCAGGGAGTGGTGGCGCGGTGAGATGGGTCATTATGCTGCATAGAGTGCAACAGAGAGAGGTTGGAGGACACTATTCTCCAGTCTCTGGCAACCGAGAATTTATCTGCCTCACTCCCTTGCTCCGCAGTCCCTGGTACCTGTGTCCTTTCCTTCCAGGACGGGCTTCATCTCCACCTCTATCTCTGACCTTCCTCCCTCCCCATCCTCTCCTACCAGGGGCTCTGCGCGGTGCAGTGCAAGATCCCTGATCGAGTGGCCTTAGAGGTCCACGGAGAATCCCAGCGGGGACATCATTGCAGCGGCTCCACTTTGCCACTCCTGCTCCTGCTGCTGCTGGCTCAAGCTGTCCCACACTGAATCGGACCTGCTTTGGGTGCGTGCCTCCCTGGACTGTCCCAGGACTGGCTGTCTACACAATCCTTTGGTTGCACATTCCTGGATTCCTCATCTGAGAAGAAACGCCAGGGGCCAACGCAGTAAGTAAATTCAAACTCCTGTTCTCCTTCTAAGACCATGAACAACCCTAAAGGAGCCCTGGGTCCTGTCAGGGATAAAAGGGCATGGGGAGGGGTTTCCAAGAGGAGCCTCCCACCCCTCCAGGCATTAAGTGGAACACCGGAACTAGGTGGGTTAGTACCACTTCGATTTTCTTCTTTTGCTGGACTTTTTCTTTTCTGCTGAAGGTTATAGACTGTTCCTTGATGGAGCGCTACAGTATGAGACAGTAAGGTATGATTCTGCCCAATCTTCAAAACTCAAGCACTTTCTAAAGTGCAAGCTCATGTAAGGTTTTCTAAAGCTGTTCAAAACTAGAGGTTTATTTAAGCTTCCATTCATTTCCCCAGGATGGGATTACCTACTAATAGAAGTCTATGGTTGTGTGGCAGGAGGTGACAGTAATATTTAAATGCCTTTCTTAGTAGAGGCTAGTCATTAAAATCTCAGTGGCATGCAAGAGACTACAGAAGGATCACAGACAGGAAGCACAAATACAGGAAAGAGAAGCATTCGTTGACTTTTTAAATGATCCATCCATCTCTACTTAGGCAAACACTCACACCTCATATGTAGCTTAATTAAAGTCCCATCTCCCCTCACAGAAGACCCAACAGGTGCAAGCAACTATAGTTTGTGGTACAGTGCTTGAGATTTTTCCCTGGGGAAACAGTCCTGGAAAGAAGGCTCGATAGTATGTCAGGCTTTGCCCACCTGGAGTGATTCTGTTGCAGAAATAATTTGCAAACTCAGAGATTTCAGCATGTAGTCAAAGCAGGAGAAGCTCTCCGACTTATTAAAGAAAGCACCTAGAGCGTCAGAAAGAAAAACGTCGTTTCCCTTTCTACATTTAAGTGCTTCTATAACAAATTCAGTAAAGGTGCACCTGTTCAAGAAAACAGCACTACTCATAGTTTTGAATTTCTTGAATAACCCGAATGTCTCATTTTGCCTTTTTTCAAGGAAAGGCTCCCTCACTGCCTCTTTCTGGCTTGGTTGGGGGCCTCTGGAGTGTCACACATGGTAGTATCTATCCTCTGATTCTCTTTTACTCTTCTGCTTTTCCAGAAGTGCTGTTGAGAATGATACATTCTGTGTTCTAGGTAGTGCTTTGCCCCAGCCCAGGGCTAGTACTGTGCCTACGTGCAGCTCATAGTGTTCACAGACTAATAGCTTGCAGATCGATAGCCATTCCTGCAGAGGAGCCATAGGACTCGAATAAAAAGGACTTCAGAGTAAAGAAAATGTGATTGAAAAGCAAAGAAGGAAATAGTCAATAAATCAAATATGCTTCTCTTCCCAGTGCCCTTAAATCTGCTGCTTACACTCAGTTTGTCAGTGCAACCTTCAAACTCCAACTTTTGGAAGTCTGCTCAACTCCAGTTAACATGGATGCCCTGAGTAACTGCTCCACAAAGTCAGTTTCTTAGCCTAGGAAAAATGGTACAGCCAATCAAATGGGCCAGGGTTCAAATGCCATGTTCCCATAATGGGTAGTGGGGCTGACATCCCTGGAAAGTTCTGTTTGAAATCTATGTTGACCTGGGTAGAATGCACCAGTATAGCAACAAAGGAAAACACAGAAAGTTCCCAGGCCCCAGGAGTGTGTGTGTGTGTGTGTGTGTGTGTGTGTGTGTGGCAGGGGGAGAGACAGAAATACATATGAGCACTTGAGAGAGAAAATTCTATGTGGAGGAGTATACTGACAGGCAATTTCAGAGGTTGTAATCAGAAACAGAATTAATAAGGTCTTAGGGCAAACTTCTTGTAGAAGCAAGTAGCAGTCTAAGAACAAGCAAACAAACCTGAGGCTGCTGTGGCACAGCAAGGCATCCAGTGTGTTGTTACATTCAGTAAAGGAGAGGATTGAAATTATACTTTGTATTAAAAAGATGCAGTAGTTATTAGCAAAATTGTATTCTTGTTTACCTTTGTATTGTTTTTATCCAGTTATTGAGTGGCTTTACTCTGCTAGACAGTGCACTGTGAGAGTAAACAGTAGATCTTTAAAGAGATTGCTGTCCTAGGTCAGTTAATTGGAACAGTCACTCTGTGGTCTGTGTTGTGGGCAGTGATTGAATCGAGAATGAACCTTCTGGATGACCAGGAGAATGACAGAGTCCTCGGTTCACCACATGGGAAAGCCTGAGGTGTTCTCTATTTGGTAGTTATTCAGTATGACGGAGCAGCAGATGCATATTGGGATGTCAAGGGGGATTAGGACAGAGTGTCTGCAGGAATGGTGTCAAGCCTTGAATGCTATACTAAGGAGCCGAGATTTATTTTAATGAGAAAACAAATTAAAATGTGTTTTGAGCAGATCATGAAACAAAACTAGTCCATTCAAGGATGTAGAAGAGAAAAGGAGTCCATGTACAGAAATGGTTGTGTAAGAGGTAGGAGATGAAGATTGAAAGTTAGGCCAATTTGAGATTGCAAGAATAACCCCTTGTTACTACCTTAAAGCTAAGGGACATAAAGAAGAGACAGTGTGACAAAGGCCCATGAAACAGCTCCATCCACAGGAAACTCTCACAAGGAGTCTACATTGTAGAAATCAAGGCTGCAGAAGGGCTGCTGAGGCACTACCCAGGGCACAGAGAGAGGGAGGAGCAAGCCTTGGTTTCTTCTTTTGCTTGCTTTCTATACATGCAGCTTTCTTTTTAAAATTATTTATATGTGTATAGTGAGTGTGTGTGTGTAAGTTTATATATATATTATATATGTGCATATATGTTCATACATATAAGTGTGTGCTTATACAGGTGTGATGTAGGTATGTATGTGTATTGCGCAGGTGTGGTAAATGTATAGGGTATGTATGTATATATGTATGCATGTGTAGACTATATATGAATGTGTGTAGGGCATATATAATGTGTACTTAGGGTATGTATGTATCATACATATGTGCATACATATGTATGCGTGCATCCATGACATAGCATACACACAGGTGTGAGGACACAACCTCAGGCCTAGGTTTCTTACTCTCCACCTTTATTCTTTTGGACACAGGGTCTCTACAGCCACCAGGATGCCTGACGCATAGGCTTCTGAGAATTCTCCTATCTTGCAAAGGAGCTGCATTATAGCTGTGCATTAAGCTTCCGGCTTTACATGGGCTCTTTTCATATCTCTCCACTTGCGTGGCAAGCTCTTTATTCACTGAGCCAGCTCCCCTATGCCTCCTGCTTTTTAATTCCCTCCAAGTGCCTTCCATTGATTCAGCCCAACCAGGATCCTGAAAAGTGGGAGCCTGGAAGCGAGGGAGGGCTCTGTGCAGCTCAGTGACACAGAGTAGGACAGAGGCAGTAAAGGTGGGAAGTGGAGCAGGGCCAATGGAGCCAGCCAGCATTATCTGTGAGCTCAGTAAGCCTGACTCATCTACGAATGGTAGTAGATGGTATTATAATTGGTTAAAAAATTCATTAAAAGATCTTATGAATTAACTACTGAAGTCTTTTCTGAGTGTATTCACTAGGCATCAGCACTAGTGTATTGAATATGGGTGTTTTTACACACTTAACTGAATTCACAGTAAAAGCAAATATATTATTTTAAGCACTCTAGTAGAGAAATTTCCTGCTGTCTTAACACCCAGCAGGATTATCCCTTCGGGATACAGATTTGCAAAGGCTTGTTGAAAGTGTGTTCCCGTAAATGTAGCACCATGGTGAATTGCACATGGCTTTACCTGTTAGGCTAATGAATTGTTGAATAAACGCGGCAGAAAGGAGAGGAAGGAAGATTAGAAATAAGATGAATGGCTTTAAGAATAACGATGATTAGGAACTGTGCCAAACAAAACCAATGCAGTAGAATGGAGGACGAGACAGGTGGGAGAGAGGGAGGCAGCCTAGCTGGGGAATCTGTTTTCTTTTATCCTCTTATATTTTATTGTATCATAGTCACTACACTTTAACATCAGTTTCCTGAAATATTTCTAATAACTTCATCATGTCTAAGAGAAAACTAGTTCTTACATATTTCATATCAACTAAGTTTTCTCAGAACTTTTATTGACTCACTTATTTACTTTACATCTGGATCACAGCTTCCTCTCCTTTGTCTCCTCCCAGTCCCCATCTTTCACCTCACACCCCACCTACCCCTTCTCCCCAGAAAAGGTGAGGCCTCCCATGGACATCAACCAGCCCAGGCATATCTAGCTTCTTCAAGACTAGGCATATCCTTGTCAACGGAGGCTGCACAAGGCAGCCCCAGTTACGGGAAAGGGATCCAAAGGCAGTCAATGTAGTCAGAGACAGCCCCCTGTTCCCACTTTCGTAGTCTCATATAAACCCAGCTTTACAGCTGTTATACAAGTGCAGAGGGCCTAGATCTGTCCCATGCATGCTCTCTGGTTGGCAATTTAGTCTCCCTGAGCCCCAAGGCACCTAGGTTAGTTGACTCTAAGTTTTTTTGTGTGTGTGTTGTCCTTGAGCCCCCTACCTCCCTCAATCCTTCCTTCCCCTCTTCCACGGGATTCTCTAGTTGGCTGTAGGTCTGTGCATCAACTTCCAACAGTTGCTGGGTGAAGCCCCTCTGGCTACATTTATGCTAGACTGCTGTCTTCAAGTATAGAAGAATATTATCAATGGTGTCAGGGCTGGGCCCCTTCTCATGGCATGGGTCTCAACCTGGGTTGGCTCTTCCCATAAACTCTTCTCTATCACCCACCACTGCAAAGGCAGGGATCTTGTAAGCATCGGAGGGCTCAAGAAAACAAGAAAGCCTAGAATGCTTATCTCTTTTTTAAGCTTTAAGGGCTTTAATTAATTTATTGGGTGCAGCAGATCACATAGGTAGGGAAATTCAGCAATGTATGGTAGGAGAGAAAGAAAGGTGCCCAATCTTCTCTATTTAGGATTTAGGGGGTAAGTTTAAACTTGGGCCTATTTTTTTAATGCAGTACCTTTGTAGTATTCTGCGCTATGTTGTGTGGGAAGTTACTTTCAAACCATTAAACAAGCAACACCTCTGCACAGAGTTCCGTTTTAAACATCAGCTGGCCTAGTAAAAAATCAGAACTGTGTGCTTGTAATGCTAGCATTCACACCACACACACATATATACACACACACACACACACACACACACACCTGACTGAGGTGGGAGGAGGTAGGCTAATGTGCACAAGAAGTGAAAGGAACAAGAACTGTGTGAGAGTCCAGTTGTTTTGCCTTATTTTAATATCACAAAGATCAGGCACTCAGCACAGGCAGATATCTGCCCCTTTGTTATATCTTGGGCTGCTGTATAGTTACACATTTCAAACAATTAAGTGGATGACACTTTCCTTTAAGTTAATTTGTTGAATTCATAGCAATTACAAAATTGATAAACTTTATTGCATTCCTTTTGCAATAAAATGGAATTTATTTGATCTTATTCATTGTGGAACTGGTTCTCTCTGATAGAAAAATGTGTTCTTGTTATGATCATAGATATTTTGAATTCCTGATTTTGTCCATCCCTAGTTGTTGATAGACTTATGTAAAGGATTTGCCTTTACGAGACCTATGGTGTGATCAATCAGAACATAGCTATCTGGGGGAGCTCTGTCTAAACTAAATCAATCCCTTTAGAATGGTTCTCTGTTTCACTAACTTTTCTATGTCATTTTTATTATAGATTCTTGTGCTACTTACAGGCCAAGTGAAAGTGAAGTGGTTCTGAAGATGGGCCCAGTAGGTGTCGAGGCAGATGAGAATCAAACTGTAGAAGTGAAGGTGGAACCCTATGGGCTGGGGCACACCACTCCTAGAGGTGAACTGCCCCCTGATCCGGAGCCGGAGCTCATAGACAGCACCAAACTGGTTGAGGTGCAGGTGGTCCTCATATTGGCCTATTGCTCCATCATCTTACTGGGGGTAGTTGGCAACTCCCTGGTAATCCACGTGGTGATCAAATTCAAGAGCATGCGCACAGTAACCAACTTTTTTATTGCCAACCTGGCTGTGGCGGATCTTTTGGTGAACACCCTGTGCCTGCCATTCACTCTTACCTATACCTTGATGGGGGAATGGAAAATGGGTCCGGTCTTGTGTCATTTGGTACCCTATGCCCAGGGTCTGGCAGTACAAGTGTCCACAATAACTTTGACAGTCATTGCTCTGGACCGCCATCGTTGCATTGTCTACCATCTGGAGAGCAAAATCTCCAAGCGAATCAGCTTCCTGATTATTGGCCTGGCCTGGGGCATCAGCGCTCTGCTGGCAAGTCCCCTGGCCATCTTCCGGGAGTACTCCCTGATTGAGATCATTCCTGACTTTGAGATTGTGGCATGTACTGAGAAGTGGCCTGGGGAGGAGAAGAGTGTTTATGGCACAGTCTACAGCCTTTCCACCCTGCTCATCCTCTACGTTCTGCCTCTGGGCATCATATCTTTCTCCTACACGCGTATCTGGAGTAAGCTGAAGAACCACGTCAGTCCTGGAGCGGCAAGTGACCATTACCATCAGCGAAGGCATAAAACAACCAAAATGCTGGTGTGCGTGGTGGTGGTGTTTGCAGTCAGCTGGCTGCCCCTCCACGCCTTCCAACTCGCTGTGGACATCGACAACCACGTCCTGGACCTGAAGGAGTACAAACTCATCTTCACCGTGCTCCACATTATTGCTATGTGCTCCACCTTTGCCAACCCCCTTCTGTACGGTTGGATGAACAGCAACTACAGGAAAGCTTTCCTCTCAGCCTTCCGCTGTGAGCAGAGGTTGGATGCCATTCACTCGGAGGTGTCGATGACCTTCAAGGCTAAAAAGAACCTGGAAGTCAAAAAGAACAATGGCCCGACTGACTCTTTTTCCGAGGCTACCAATGTGTAAGAAGGAAGGTGTGAAAGCACATGGGTGAATTGTGACCAGAGCTGCCAACCTGATTAGGGAAGGTTTTCTGGCCTGTGCATGCAGACCTCCTATTGTATTGACTCAGAAGCCATAGAACGTAAGCCCCAGTGGTATTATTGCTGGAAAACTGGCTGGCAGAATGAGGTGAAAATAAACAGATTGCCGTACAACGTTCCGCTTACCGATGCTTGGATGGTAGTGGAGGAGAGAAGGAAATCCAAAGAAGCAATTGGTATCAGCCCAGCATGGTTAAAAGGGAGAAGTGTTAACTCTGAAAGCACAGTAGGATCTGCATCAAGAGTGTCGCAGATTCTATGGGCTCTCTCATCACTGGATGAAAAGCTACTGAACAACTCAGATTTCCCTCGGGAGCCATAGGCTCTCTGTTAGGGTGTTTTGGTTTTATTGTTCTTCCTAAGATGAAACCTAAATGAGAATGCTATAGGTAAACATGGCTTGCTGACTAAGGCAATGACTTCAAGATAACTTCAAGAGAATAAACACATTTGTTATACCAGTAATATTTTGGCAATGATGGGAGAGATCCTTATATACTCTGAGCAATTAGTTGTTCTTAAAATCAAATGTAACTGTAGGAAGTTTGATTTTTAGTTCAGAATCAAAATCTGAAATTATCAGACTGAAAAGAAATGTAAACTATTGTCTTATTTCTTGATTTGAGATATTCCAGCTTTATGTGGAGATTGTTTAGATGACAAGTAAGCAACTCAGTTCTTTTGTTTATTGCTAATTATTAAAGTCTTTTGGAACAATACAACTTCTGTTACCATTTCTGCATGGGAGCAAACAAAGTTCACACTAAAAATTAAATCATACTAAAACATAATTTTGTAACAATTTGAGTTTAGTTGTAAAAACTCACCACCCCACCACCACCACAGCTCTAATATCTTTACAGACACTGTAGAATTATCTTCTTTGGAGCTCATCTTCAGTCGACAAATTTATATTAAGTAAAAATATAATTTCATTAAAGTGAACCCATTTGGTAAGACATTTCAAAAACTGAGTTTATTCCACTTTGCAAATTTTGGTTTTCAATAAATTTCACATAAGTATTCTCTGTTTAAAATTAGTATATTTTTGGTAACATATATATACAAAACAAAAGCATATCTATAAATAGGGGAGCATTAGCAAATTTCATTTAATTTTTATTTTATGAATATAGCTTTTATTTCAAAGGTAACCAACCAAAGATAATTAAAACTCTATTTTGTTCACACAGAAAAGTAAGAAAAAGAGATGTTAAACTAGTTGCACTTCTCTTGATGCTGAAGTTTCAATGTAGACATATTTTTGTAAATATAGCATAATCTGGGAGTATATTCCTCACATTTTAGAAATATTCAGTGTAGTCTTATACTTAGTTATGATATTAATTTTGTGTATATATTTAAAACGCAGACTCTGTCTGTTATCAAATTCCTTTCAGTGTGGAAATAAAAGACTGGTCTCAAAGTGAACTATTCCTCTGAATACTAAAAAAGGAACAAAGCAACAAAAGTAAAAATAGAAGTAAGGTGGACTAGAAAGTCAACCTAATACGCTGCTGTCTGAAGTGTGTCATATGTCTATAAAATATATTCTTTTCTGTTGGACTCTGCACAGTCATCTGAAGATAAGCTTTTTACATTTTATGCATAAGTTACTTTGCTTAAGATGTTAACAGAAGGTTGTTGTGAAGTCTCTATGTCCTTTGCAGATTTCTTATCCTGTGTAAAACCTGTATGTTACTGTGACTCCGGCTGTGATGGTAAATTATTGGAATCCAATTAGTGATTCAATTAACATATTTGTGATTGAGTTTATATGTCAACTCAGTAATAAAGCATCTTTTATGTGCTAGTTTTAATGTTAAAATAAAAAGAATTTGAGGAATTGTGTAGAGTTTCCATGTAGCTCTTGCTTTGCCCTTTGGCTGAAACTGAGTCCCTCACTGTGCTGTGAGCACCCTAGTGACTTCCTGTGAGTGCTCTGTGAGAACATGTCACTCTTCACTTTCTGCCCAGATCTTTCTCTTGAATGTCAAGCCTGTATCTCTATCAACTGATGAAACATGTATTTATTGACCCCATCAACAGACATACAGTGTGCCCCAAGCAGAACCTTTCAGTTTAGTACAAATGTCCTGATCCCACTTCTAGCTTGTCACCAGTCTACTGTATACTATTTCCCAAGACTTTACTCTCTGAGCCAGCCCCAATATTCCTTTTCCCTTTACCCATATTTAGTCAAGTCCTGCATTTTAATATGACTACTAGCTATCTCTTGAATCAATTCACTTTTCTCATCCTGTCATACATACTATGGCTGTTTCCCAGGCCTGTATTGACTCTTATGTAGGTTAATATAGTCGACTCCTATTTGTTGTCTCTGAATCTTGTCCTTTTCACATACAATCCAATATTTATCTACTTTTTTTTAATTTATTGATTTTTATTTTATTTTAAATTTATTTTTTTATTGGATGTTTTATTTACATTTCATATGTTATCCCCTTACCCCATCCCCCACCCACCCGGGAACCCCCCCATCCCCTTACCCCTCCTCCTTCTTCTCCGTGGATGTAACCCCCACCTAACCCCCCCCACTCCCACTTCCCCACGCTCAAAATTCCCACCCCCTGGGGCGTCCAGCCTTCATGAGGTCAAGGATCTCTTCTTCCACCTGTGCCTGGCAGGGCCCTCCACTCTTACATATTCAGCTGAAGCCCTGGATCCCTCCATAAGTGCTCTCAGGCTGGTGGTTAGGACCCTGGGAGCTGTGGTTGGTTGGTATTGTTGCTCTCCTCATGGTGCCACAAACCCTTTCAGCTCCTTCAGTCCTCACTCTAACTCCTCCATTGAGAACCTCATGATCAGTTCAATGGCTAGTTGTGAGCATCTGCCTCTGAATATGTCAGACTCTTGAAGGTCTCTGAGGAGACATCCATATCAGGCCCTTATCGGCATGCACTTCCTGACTTCCACATCAGCATCTACCTTTGGTGACTGCACATGGGATGGATACTCAGGTGGAAAGGTCTTCAAATGGCCCCTCCTTCAGTTTCTGTCCCTCACTTTGTCTCCATATTTGCTCCCTTGAGTATTTTGTTGCTCCTTCTAAGAAGAACTGAATCACCCCCACTTGGTCTTCATGTGGCCTGTGAGTTGCGTCTTGGGCATTTCAAGGTTCTGGGCTAATATCCAATAATCAGTGAGTGAATACCATGTGTGTTCTTTTGTGATTGGCTTACTTCACTCAGGATGATAATTTCTAGTTCCATCCATTTACCTAGGAACCTCTCGAATTCATTGTTTTTAATAGCTGAGTAATACTCCATTGTGTAAATATACCACATTTTTTTAATCCATTCCTCAGTTGAAGGACATCTGGGTTCTTTCCAGCTCCTGGCTATTATAAATAAGGCTGCTATGAACATAGTTGAGCATATGTCCTTGTTATATGTTCGAGCATCTTCTGGGTATATGCCTAGGAGTGGTATAGCTGGATCCTCAGGTAATGCTATGTGCAATTTTCTGAGGAACCGCCAGACTGATTTCCAAAGTGGTTGCACCATCTTGCAGTCTCACCAACAATGGAGGAGTGTTCCTCTTTCTCCACACCCTTGCCAGCATCTACTATCACTTGAGTTCTTCAAAACAATATTTATCTACTAACCAAAACAGTTAAAGAAAAAAAAAGAACCTCAGGTTTTATTAAGTCATTTTTCTGATAAAAGTCTTCAGTTGTATCCTCATAAATCTTATTTTAAGAGTTTTACATCTTATTGAGAATAATTTTAATGACTTGAAAGGCTGTTAAACATCTCTATTGAGATTCTCTCGAAGACCAAACCAGTAGAACCCACATATAATTGTATGAGGAGATTTATTAGAATGCTTCACATATCAGGGGCTAGACAACCTTGTGATGGTCATCTGCAGAGTGGAGATGCAGAGAAGTCAGTTACTGTTTGGCTCAAAAACTGAAATCTCTGGGACAGGAGTATTGATAGTACAACCCCAGAGTGATTCTGATAGGCTAGAAGTTCCCTGGAGAGTCCCTGATATTCGGCCACACTGAATGGCTGGTGAACCAGGAGTCTCAAGTCCCTGGGTGATAACAGCAGCTGTAGATGAACTCACTGAGGAAGACTGAATCTTGTATATACTGGCTGGCTTTCTCTTCCATATTTATTTCCTCTGAGTCTCTGACCTCTTGGGTGGTGCTGTTCATGTCTCCACTCAGTTAATCCTCTCTGAAAATGCCCCCCACAGACACAAAGATCTCCCAATATCTCTCAGTCTCATCCAGTACTTAATCAAGGCTGATGTTTGCAGCACCTGCTTGTGTCTGTCTGTTTGACCTTATGCAAATTCTTTTTGTTCAGCTGCTAGAGTTTAAGGACCCTGAACAGGTGTTGTCTTAATCATGTGGAATTGCAGTACTTGTAGTTCCTGTCATCAAATTGATATTCAATAAATATTAATGAGACTCATCAAGGAAACTGGAGTGGTTTTTTTTGTTTGTTTGTTTTTGTTTTGGTTTTTTGAGACGAGATCTCTCTCCTGTAGCCAGGCTGGCCTTGGATTTAATAAGGAGCTGAGAATGACCTTGAACACTTGACCTCCTTGAACTTTTACCTCCTAAGTGCTAGGTTATACCTGTGTTCCACTAAACGATGCTTGAAGTTAATTTTTGAAGTGAATATTAAAGCCAGTGTTTAAAGCTAGATCCATGAAGTAATAAAACATAACTTTGTCCATTCGGCCATACTCCATCTAGGAAAACAGGGTTTCCAGAAGTCTAAGAATGATGTTTCCTTGTACAGGCAGCATCAGGGTTTGCTATTTGCTTGTCTTGTCTTATTTAAATGATAAATTAATTTTTTTAAAATGGCATTAAGTCTAGGCAAGTGATATTTTCTCTCAAAGCCACTATACTTCAGCAGTGACATACTTAGGCAAGACTGTGCTGGAAAATGTGTTGGAAAAATAAAGAATAAAATGGAGGTGATGGCTTGCAATCTCTTACAGTAATATCAACCTGTTCATAAGAGCTATGGGACACTTGGTTTTCACTGGCTAAGAGCCCCATGTATATCAGGAAGCAGCAGATAACAGAGGAAGTACACCTATTCCTGAGGGAGTTGAACACAGAAGAGGCAATAATTGATGCTCAGCTCACTGGATCTGGCAGGACTGTGTACACCGGAGAATTAAGAAAGAAATCAATTCAGTATGGAACTCTGGACTGATGTGGGGCTTTAGTGGCTTTTCTCAGGGATATGATGGGATACAATTTTTATGAGCTAGGAGGGGTTGAGAAGACAAAGCAGAGAAAAGCTGTATCCAAATCCCTAGAAGGAAAATACAACATGACTTGTGTCAGCTTGGACTTCCTAAGAGGGAAATGAATGTGTATGTGTGTTCTGGGGGGACAGAAAGTCAAATACTATACTTCTGAAGTTTTAAAAGGCTTTAAAGACCAAACATAAATGATAAAGAATATAATGAAAACAATAAAACTTTGTCCTAGGGCTTGGGAGTTATTCTGGAATATTTAGTGTACATCTTTGTTTTGTCATAAGGCGTACTGTAGATGGAGATTGATTGCCAATATGGCCATGTATGGCTGATAACAGCAAGGACCACAGTGCTGGCCAAGAGTGTATTAGATTTATCTAGCTCCAGAGGCAGGCAGAGTAGGCTACAGTCCTTGGGCCTGAGACAGGACAAGAGTTGCCAGAAAACTCTGATGGAACAACTGGCTGGGTAGATGTACAGTGGCTCCATGGTAGCAGCAGTGATCCAACATGAGAAAGGGAAAATGGCACACACACACACACACACACACAGAGAGAGAGAGAGAGAGAGAGAGAGAGAGAGAGAGAGAGAGAGAGA